TTTTGTCCACAAAAATTTGAAAATAACTTATAAAACGTCAAACCCCACATTTCATAATTTCGAAGTAGTTAGAGAAGAAGTAGCCGCAATCAGTTTTGATACAAGCTTCAATTTCTTTCTTTACCGGGTCGATGGTGCGGCGGAAGTGTTCAACGCTTAATTTTTTCCCAAATTTCGGATATTTTTTCTGAAGCAAACTTTTCGCATTTCGATTCCTTAACAGCTCACCAGCAAAGCCACAAACAGGAAAGTCCAATGAATCTGAATTCGATTTGTGAGCAGGATACAATTCCATCACCTAAAACGTCGATAATCCCGAAGAAATGGATCGTTGTATTGGTCCATGGGCCGGAGCCTGTTCCTGTAAGAACGTGAAATTGTAGACTTTGCTTCCAGGGGACCAGGGATTTCCAAAATCTCTTCTTGATAGACCTGCTTTTATCGATAAAAACTTATGGAGACTTGTTCAAGCAGTATGGCCCCAAACCATGAAACTCTTAAGGAACGAAATTCTTGTATTTTCCATTGACGAATACCTGCAAGATTGAGATTGGGCTAAAATTCAAGGGAATTCCGTAAGTACTTAGCCGATAAAACAGCGAACTTTTTTTGTGAAATCACCGGACGTCCTAGCGCACCTTGGAAAAATCCTGTAACTGTAACTAACACTTTTCCTTCCGATCTTTTCTGAACGATCGGAAATAGTCCGTCTGATACACGATAACTCATATCCCATGCTTCATTTTTACTATTATTTGAACAGATTTTTGCGAATTCCGAGCTGCTCGGCACTCTTCTTCAAGCTATATTGACGGTTTGGTCGCTTCCCTGGTTATTCTTTCTTCGTTTTATCCTTCCACGGGCTTATTCAAACCTGGTCTTCCTCTTTTTACCGCTCTACAGTTATCTGGATATTTCTCAGAGAAACTGTGAACCTCGAATGAATCGTTGAGCTCCTAATTCACCTCCTTGCTAGCCGCGTAATCGCGTTGCAACAGGTCCTCGCCAGAACTTCGAACCGATTGTTTTCTCCACATCCCAATAATTGGCAATAATCAATTTTTTTGGAAAGAAAAG